ATGTCACAAGCTCTGCAGGTACGTCCGGCTTTGCGATCTCCCACGATGCACAGGCAGGTCTACTCAGAAGCAAGTCCCCATTTTTAGTCAGCTGGGCTTACTTCCAGGAAACTGTGCTTTGGACCACAGCTACGGTTTCCAAAGGCCAGCCACCCAGTCTCTATACCAGAAGAGGGCTGTAGCTTGTGCTCCACCAGTGGACCCCTGGCCAACTTTCAGCGGATGGTCCAGTGTCTACCAGCTGCTGAGATCCTTGCAAAAGAAGCTAGACTGGATGGACCTTGGCCTGATAACTCTTCTTAGGCAAGAGTGTGGATTCAAGACCACTGAACCCTGATCAGCCATGTCTGAATTGTTGTGCGATCCAGAGAACCTATTCTTGCTCTGTAAACGTAAAACATAAGGATGGACCTCGTGGATTCTGGTAAAAACGAAAAAGCAAGAGGGAAATCAGCCTGTCCTCGCCAAGAACCTTCCATCTGAGTATCCCATTTTAAAAACAACAACAACAGGACCCTCCTGCGCATCCCTGCCATCTCATACTTTGACAAATTTTACTGGTGGACTCTTCAGCTGGTCGCAGTATATAGAAAAGCAGGAGCTCTGGCTGGTCTCCTCAGTTGTCGCTGACGGCCCCAGCCGGACCCTCCGCAAACGCTCGGAGGAGCCGCACAAGTTCCCCCTGCTATCCAAGGAACGGGAAACTGAGTCACAGGCAATGCTCCCTCTAAGCTGCGGAGTCTTGTGAAGAGCAAAAATACTACTTTGTGAGCTACCGGCATGAAAGTTGTGAGCGAGCGATTTGGCTACTGCATAAATCAGTTTGCTCTGGAGCCATCCTTCCCGAGCTAAGACAAAAATGTGTGAGCCGGAGGCTAAGAAACTGTGAGCTGGCTCACACCGACTCAGCTTAGAGGGAACACTGGTCACAGGAGGCTACCGCGCAGGAGAGCGCTGCCCAAGCGGCCTACTTCTCTCGCCCAGAAGCCGAGCTCCAGGTTTTACGACGCCCTTTCCCACCCCACGCAACCCCCTGCCTCTCTCTCCAGACGGGCGTCTGGCATCGCCTTTCTGTTTCTGGGTGGAGGCTGTAATCCCATCGGCTTATCTGCACGAGAAGGCACAGCAGCAGCAGCAGCAGCTGCTCGAGGGGAAGCGGAAAAGGGGGCTGGAGGGATCGGGGCGCTCCTGCTGCCTGGGAGTAAACCGGGAAGGGGCAAGGCAGCCGGCAGGGATTCGGCGTCTCCCCAGGGGAGGGAGAGGGGCCCTGCAAGTTGCATGCCTCCTGCAGGCGAGCCCTTTCGAAGGCAGGGTCAGCTTCTCCCTTCGGCTGACCCCCCCCCTCCTCCTCGGGGCTAAGTTGCCTCCAGCTGCCGGGGCTGCTCGGGATCCGAGGCAGGATCCAAGGCGAGGGGGAAAGAGACGTTCCTGCCTGGACGTCCCTGCAGCCGCAGCGCGCCCAGAGCGCATCGCAAAGACAACTCCTTCTGCAAAGCCGAGGATCCCCGTCGTGGCGGGTCAGCGGCTCCCACTTCCACAGGGACCCCCGCCGCCGCCGCCGCCGCGCTCCTTCCAAGAAAAGGCATCGCCGCCTCGGCTCCATCTCACGCCCCGGTTGCCATTTCCCGGGCTCCCCCCACCCCCACCCCCCGCCGTCGACTCACCTGGAGGCCCGGATTGTCGAAGACCTCCATCTGGATGTCTTGGCTGGAGCTGTAAGGTGTGCGTGACATGCCGCCCTCCTGCACCATGGAGATGCCCGTGCGCCCTCCCGGCCGTCCTTATGCCAGACTCGCGGTGGTGGTGGGGACGCGGCGGCCGGGCTCCGGCGCGCCTCCTGCTCGCCAACGGCAGCCGGCCCACCGCCCGCCCTACAGCCCGCCCGCCCTACAGCCGCCGCCG